GAGGTAATATAAGTCGAAGGTACGAAATGTTAATTCCTTTGTAATATTTGTAGACAGGATTAAGGTGTGTTACCTTCAACTGGGTTCTTGCAAGATTGTAAGTTTAATTTTTAAAATATTTTGTATTATAATCATGTTTATGTGATTTCGTATTGCTTTGATCTCATGAAAGAATGTCATTTATAGAGTTGTGTTAATGCTTTTCGGTTTTCTATTTAAATTCGAAGAAAAGAAAACATGATCTTTTGAAGTTCGAAGATTGAATTTTTGTTATCTGAGTTAGATATATTCTTGGAAAAAAACTTTACTTTTTCCGTTTTGAATTGTTTTTTGTTGACATTTTCTATTTTCTTATGTCCTTTCACTTCATCTACTTCTTTAGGCTCAAAAGAGAAAGTTTGGGACATTTGAGGGGATGAATTGAAAGACATTTCTTGTTGGAGAGGAGTGAATCAGTTAGAAATCCGCTGGTCTAAGTTTGACTCCAGTCATGATGGACGCCGTTTAAGTTCACTCTCGGCCAATATACCTTGATTTTACATGATAATATATTTTTTTTTTTATTTGGTGAAAAGAATTGAAACTTCATGTGGAAATTTTAGAGTATTATTTCGCGTTACATGCATTTTTATTACAATTCCTTGCGTCATGTTTAAGGTATGCAATTAAATTGATGTATCATTTAATAGTTATCGTTCAAAACAATGAACTTAAGTAGGACGATTGAGCTAGCTTCAGATAGGTTTTATGCTTGGCCTATTTGTTCGTTGAGCAAAGATACTATCAATGAAATACTCTCTTTGCTTTCCAAAAACTCATTTAACACGCGTTACTTGGTAATCCTCAATGCTCGACCTACTAAAATCACCTTCAAAAAAAAGGCAATACGTGCATTGCACTGGCATATCACTAATTCTAATAAAAACATTGAAATTTTAGTTTAAATACACATGGGTCATTATATTTAGCAAAAATTGCACAACCAATGCATGAGGTTTCATATAATGGCACATGGACCCTAAATATTTCAAATGCTTCAAGTCACGAAATTTGTTTTTTTTCTTTTGATTTATCCCTTGTTTAGTGATCATTATTTGGTAAAAACAAAATTTTAAATAGTAAATTTTTGGAGAATGTGTAGTTAAAAAGTTAAAAAATATTGAATTTACATAAAAAAATATTTTATTGTGCGAATGTATAACTAAAGATGAGTATATTGAAAAAATGTTTTTGGATAATGATCGTCAAAGAGAGGCTTAATGCCTACGGTAAAGAAGCACGTCCTTCAATTTTTTCTTTTAAGTGGAAAATCACAAATTCAACATCTATAACACTAAAACAATTTTATTAGATTTTGTTTGGGATAATTTCAAACCCTGTACTTTTTTGCACATACTCATCCAAGTCGAGTAGGATCCATCAAAGAGTTTTGCTATTTGTACAACGCTGTTAACGCCCTGATATACAGTCTCCTCACGAAAAGGGAGCCCTCAATTTTTTTTTTAGGGAAAATTGCAACTACGGTACCAAACCTTCACATTTTTGCAGACTTTGTCCAAACCTTTGATTTGTGTCACACACGGTACCAAACATTAAAACAATTCGCAGACGAAGTTCAAATCGACAGAAACCGTTAGTTTGACCATCAATTGACCAAAAAGACCAAATGTTGACTAATTCTTAAAGGGCAAAATGGTAATTTTCCTTTTTTCTGTATAAAAAAAAACTAAAATCAAATAATTAAATCGAAACCCATGTCATCTTCGCCAACCACCCCACCTCCACCCAACCCAATATAAAACTGTCGGCACCACCACACCGGCACACCCACGTCCTCCTCCACCACCACCACCACACCGACATAGGTATTGGGGACGACATACAAAGTACTAGAAGGGATTTTTATCAATGGATACCTCTTTGTTTCACCGCTAAAAATTTCTCGTGAAGACTACCTTCATGGGTTGGCCGGAACTGTAACGGGTTGCTGCCATAATTGTTCCCCCCTGAAAATTGGCATAAATTGGCATGTCCAATTTTCTAACTCGCTACCATTGATTCTCTTCTCCAACCAAGAGATAAAATTAACTGAACCATTCTCCAATTCATCCTCCTTCACATCATTCTCCTCCTCCGCCACATCACCACTAGTCTCAGCGCCAGTTCTAGTGCTTTCCGAGGCAGAATTTGACTAGTCAAAACCGTTCTTAATCAAACTCAACCTAGACTTTTTCAACTCCTCTGAGCTTTGACCACTCCCTCTCAAACTTTTACCCTTCATCCTTTCCTTCTTGCTCTTATCTTTCTTGTTTTGCATCAACGGACTTTCTTCAAAAGCGTCTATTACCTCGTGTGGGGAATTAATTCACGTCGCCTCTCACATAAGAGGCGGTGGTTAGGTGGGAGTGGTGACGTAAATTAATTTAAGGAAAATTGCAACTGAGGTCGTGGTGGTGGGAGGAGATGGGTGTGCCGATGTGGTGGTATCGGCAGTTTGATTTTGGGATGGGTTGGGTGCAGTGCCAGTCCTGTGATTTTCGGGGCCCGAGGCGAACTCCCAAAATTGGCCCTCGGAGATCAACGTAAACGCAAAATCCAGTTGGGGATTCAGTTGTAGCATTTGGCACCCAAAACTACAACTACAAGAGGGTTGTTCCATACTTCCATATCCCTTTGGCGATGGCAGTAGAAAACATGGGAAAATGAATAGAGATAATTCAATGGACAATGAGTATTAATGCCGATAATTTACGCCCATTTTCTAATGCAAGGACAAGTATAGACTGCCGAAACAAGAAGACCAGATTGACCAGTTCATGACACACTACACAAAAATTAATGGATGCATTATTTCCTG